TTTTGGTTTTTTTTTTTTTTTTTTTATTATTGTAGGCCTAACCTAGGCTAGGCCTAGATAGAGAGAGGCCTATGTCCCCCTAGGTCCTACTCTACTTACTTAAATATCAATTGTCTCACAGAAGTCAGTGATTTTCTCTGGTGTGCTAATCCTAAATAAAACAATGGTGCTACTACAAAAATATGTTATTTGCATGGTAGCCATCTAGATAAATTAATACAAATTGTGCAAAAAAATTACTGGAAAATAGGTGCGCAAAAGGAAATTAATTGTATAATATTAATATGAAAGTGAATATATTTACGTCAACATAAATCAAAATCAGTTAATGATATATTACATGTAGTAAATAACACATGCGCAGTCATACTTTAATATACTTTTTTTGCATTATCAGTCACGTACAGTAAATTTATCAATTCTACATTAATTTACATAATATTGTGAGTTTAACTTTCAGCACTCAAAATTAGCATCGGCCCAAGCTGCGGTGCTAAAGCTCACCACGGCACTGATTAAATTATAATTTTGTTTTTAAAATGTAATTTAATATCCTACTATAGTATGTAGTTTAATCGTTATTATAAATGTTTAAATCATTCAGTAGTGTTAACTTTTTAAATAAAAGTGATATTATGAGCTTGAAATTATCTGTGTTCTTTTCATTTTACGCACATCATTTGTTAAATGAACACTTACACGTTTAGGATTAGATTTTCGTACACTGTGGATTTATGCTACAATACATTCATAAATTTAACTTGTCAATAAAAGTGTCTTGGCAAATCAGGCACCGCAGCTTGGGCTGACACTAATTTTGAGTGCTGAAAGTTGAACGTTCTGTACACTTAACCAGAATCAATAAATTAATGTATATATAAAGTATGACTGTTGTTTATTTCATGTATTATATATATATATTATTATATATATATATATATATATATTATATATATATATATAATGTTTACTGATTTTTTTATGGCGACGTAAATATATCCACTTCCTATTGATATTGGGGGTACATTGAGACATGGAACTTGGCCTAAAATGCATGGACAGATTTCTATTGTAAGATAAGATAAGATAAATTTTTATTTGTCCAAACATTAAAACATGTTGGAAATTCGTTTTCCATGGCGTATTTACATACAAAATATTGTACATAGTAAAAATCAATAAAAAACGTATATAAAATACATGAAAATACATAAAATATTATTCTTATTAACAATTATTATCACAATTATAATCATTATTACAATCATTATCATTACAATCATTAGATCAATGCTCTATATGAATGTTTTATTATTAGGTCTTAATTATTGGGTAAAGATGCCTACACACATCACACACACACACATAATGTAGGAAGGGATGATTGCTAAATATTTCTTAGCTTGCATCCTGTGTAACATTTGGCTTGTAACACACTGTAACAAGGGCTGATGGGTGGTGGAGGGCTTGTGTGAAATACTACAGTATATAAGTTGTCATAATGCATTTATAGTCAGGGACTATTAATTACTGTATAATACAAATACAAGACTAACTTACTGTTAGTATATTTATATAAACTGTAATAACATTTAATAAGCAATTTTCATTTTAAATTATTTTTTATTACATTTTTTTTTTATTACTGTCAGCAAATGTGTCAGTAAAAGGTAAGATGAATGTTACTGTAGAGTGTAGAAAATGCATATAATTGTGTTTAATTATTGTAAACTAATACACACACCTCATTCATGCTACTGATCTAGTTTGAGTGAATTGTAACAAAATGGTAGTTTTTTATAAGTTGCCTGAAATTTTCTCCTAAACCTACATTTTGTTTCTACTGTACAGTAGCAACTTTCATTTTAAGTTTCTGTATCATTATGAAACCAAAAGTTTTTGTATTAAGGTGGTTGTACAGTACAGTACAGTGTCTGTGTTTAGTTTAGTGCATGTGTGTTTTAAATTTAAATCTATAGTAAGTTGAAACTTTTTTAATACCTTGTTTAACGTACCTTTCGACCGCAAATAATGGTGATTTTGAATCAAAATTAAATTTTATTTTTGCCAGTTTATGGAAATTTCAGGAAAAATGTTTTAAGTAATTTATTTTTATTATTCCCTCGCTCTCGCTCCTGAAATCTCCAATAGTAAGATACGTATCTTCCTTTAAAGTTATCAATCTCATTTATTTACATTCATCAATAAAATTTTATTTTTATTCTCCACTGCCTACAGTAGATGCTTTTTGCAAACAAAGAAAACAATTTTTTTTTTCTGCCCTCCTCTGACAATAAAAAAGATAAGTTCAGTAAACAAGGTATTAAGAAAGTCTCCCCTTAAGTGCAATGTAACCCTTTTTATATTTTATAGTAATCATAATCATACACCATGTTCATTTCACGTGACATTACATCCATTTTAGATCATTTTATCGGGTTTATTTTGAAACAGCGCTGCCAGCATCTCGCAACTTACTGGGGGACTTGCAGCAGCAGAGCCTAGCCTGAGCATCTAGCTAGTGTTTTATAGAGCACCGCGTGCACACTGGTAAACCTATGTAGCGGGAAGTGCGTATGCCTCTGGTGGAAGTCCCCCAGTGGTAGTTGCCAGGTTATCGGATATTTTCATTTCAAATTTTGTGAAAATGGTCTATAATGATGTGTTGTAGTAGTTTTGAAGTTGTGAGCAAGACAAAAAATTATCTACTGCTTTCAAAATACTGTGACACTAGTGAATGTTTAACCTATTATCATTACAATTGACTACTGTATTTAATCATGATTAGTAGATTTATGCAATTAAATATTAACTTGAGAAATGTTCGAATGACAAGATTTAACAAATTTTAATACGGCACAGGTTAGCAAATTGCAGCCCACAGGCCAAATGTGGCTCTACAGTAACTTTGTTGTGGCCTGTGAAAATTGAAATTTCTCTTGTGTGCGTCTGCTACTGTACCTTCGGCTATAAAACTCCTGTTGTTACTTACGGCTTATTCTGATCATCTGTAAAAGTAATTATGCAGCCCTCAGCTTTAAACTGTAAAAGTACAGTAATAACATGAAAACTGAGCAATGCATACAAGGACAGTGTACTGTACCTCAAATTTTTATCAATGTCTTAAGTTTTCCATTTTCCTGCATATGTCTACTTGCACAGTGCACATGTTCTACCGCTACACTCAGAAAGTGTTTCTATCCTTTAGTCAATTATTTTATTTTTTTGTTGAGGGAAATGTGTAAATACATAATTGCTGTGTACTACCAACAGTAGAGTGCCAGAAATTTTCCAACAAGGGGTTAAAGTTCCCTGATGGGGTGTCCAAAGTCCCGGATGAGAGGTGCACAACAGCCTAACCATGTTTGGATACAATTTTAGGAATAAGCATGTTTACTGTAGGTGCCCAAAAAATGGCACTCTCAGACTTTTAAAATGCCTTTAAAGTAGTGTCCCTGATATGTAATTGGTTTTTCCTCCGACGAGGGTTCCTTTCCCCCCCCCCTTCCAGGATCTGCCCCTGAAGGGTTCCCTGACAGGGGTCCTGGA